ATTTTTTATCTTTAGTAAAAATTAAAATTTTAAAACTTGGATATTTATTTACCTAGCTACATGTTATATTCTTTCTATTTATACAAGTTCTAATTCAAAAAGTCATAAGAACAATTTTTGATCTTCAATGGTAAATTAAAAAGTAAAATGCACCAGTTTTAGCCACCATTGTACTATTTGTGGTCATTGTTTTGTACCATTTCTGGCCACATCAGATTACAATTTTTACTTTACTATAAACCATTCTCATTAAAATAATAATTATATACAACACTGTTTAGGTAATAACATTTCTTTAATTGTATTATAGTATAAATATGTAGGTACTTAACGATAACAGTCTTTTGTTACTTTAAAAAGCCTTTTTTTACAATACAAACAGTCTTTTTATTTAAATACCTAAAATTAAATATTAGATAGGTAACACTGTTTTTAAAAATGAGTTAACTTTTTTACAAACTAAATAAAACAAAATATAACCAGAATAAAATGTAAAATATAACAATGTATATAAAACTAATCATAATTAAAATATTAAAACAAAATAAAGCAATACCTATATATTTTTTCTTTTAAATAATCATAATTAAAATATTAAAACAAAATAAAGCAATACCTAAATATTTTTTCTTTTAATATTAATTTAGTGGAAAATTTTTAAATTATTTATTAATAAGTACCTAACTTAGAACTTTCTATATTTTTGAATTTCTGGAACACAACAAATCCCTCTAGAATTTGAAACTTCAGGAGGCTTGATTAGTTGTATCACATTCTCATAAGTATACCAAATTTCATCTTCTAATCCATTTCCATCCTGATCCACTCATTGACATAACACTTACTAACGCTGATGTAGGACTTTATCATTAATTACAACAGGAAAACATTCGTCTTCATATTTAACAATGACAAAGTCACTAATATTGTATTCATCTTCTAAGTCATGATAACTAATACCGTCACTATCCGAAGCAAAAGGCACTTCATCTTCACAATCAGATTCACTGGATACTACCAGTACATTTTTTTTCTTATATTTCTTCACACACATTTTCTTTTCCAAGGTCTTATTTTTTTTATTAAGTTTATTCATTACTTTTTGCTGCTTTTCATCATCTTGTGCCTTTTTTATTTCAAGCCATTTTTCTGAAGTTACAACACTGGGCATCTTTACTCTATTATAAGCTCTAGTTGTTGTTGATATAGGCTCTGGCCATTTTATAACATCAGCCAAAACTTCATTTAAATTTTTAATAGAGCCTGTAGATGGTGTAATTATTGTTCTGTTTGGTTCTACAGCTACATGTTGCAATGGACTTATCAAAGAATTATTTTCAGAAAGAGATATATTTGGACAAACTTCTGGTTGATCTTGATTTTCCTCACTTTGAAAACATTTTACCCAAACATCATAAAGTTCTGATGCAGAAATATCCCCCTCCCAATCAGTGTTCCTCTTTAGTGTGTCTTTAAATTCAGTAAGTCTGTCAGGAGATATTATTTTTTCCAAGTACTCTAAATGTGTTAATACAGCAGATGGAGATGTTATAACAGTTGGAATGTCTTTTAGAGTACATTTTGTATAGTCTACTGCATCAGGGTTCCAAGGGTAAAGTCCACAAACCCGAAAACCTGACTTAATTGATCGTTGAAAATCACCATTATCAAGAATATTATGCAGCAGTGAAGGTACATTATGTTTACTTATTTATGATCCATTCGCCATTGACGTACAACACTTTTCCACTTGGATTTTAATGGAGCAAAAACGGCTACGTCCAAAGGCTGTAAAATATGAGTTGTATTTGGAAATAAACATATTAGAATAATTGTATTACTTTTGCAAAAGTCACCCAAATGCATGGTTAAATATGATGCATGTCCATCTAAAAACACAATAACCGGAAGTTCTACATTATTTTTTATCAAATAAGGGTGAAATACATTACTGAAATATTCAAAAAATGCTTCTCCCGTCATCCATCCACTATCAGTTTTCCCAAGGCCCCAATAGCTTGGGGCAGAATTGGCTATTTCTTGATTCGTTTTTTTATATTTGTATATTGTTAATGGCGGGGCAATAACACCAGCAGCACTTACAGTTAATAATGTTGTAATGTTTTCCTTATCAGATTTAGCTGATGTGTCATACACATGGGGACCCTTTTCTGCCAAAACCAAATATCCTTTTGGGTACAGATAAAATGACGTTTCATCTAAATTGAAAACTCTTGTAGGATCTTTTAATATAGGTATCTAAGTCTGGACCTAACAAATCTTCAGTCTCTTTAAAACAACCTCTAATTTTAGCTTCAGTGATTTGGCCTCGTGCTTTATTGATGTATTCAGATTGCTTTTGACTGATTTCACTGTGTCGGCGCATGAAACCTTCAAACCACTTTCTTCCTGGTCTACCATCTATAAAAGGCGTACCTATGCTATCTTTAGCTGAAGTCACAATTTTTTCGACGGTATCCAACAACATTAATTTATTGATAGGAAACCCCATTTTAAGAATCCAATTTACCAGTTTTGCCTCAGTTTCTTCACCTAATACTGCTTTAGGGCCGACTTGATGGACACTATCTGGAGTTTTTCCACTCAATTTATTGCGTAGAGTAGATCCAGGGACTTTATACATTTTGCTGGCCTGAAGTACATTTAAAGAACCATCTTTAACAGCATTTAATGCCAGTTGAATTTTTGTAGGCGAATATTGAAACAACTTTCTTCTTACACCTTGACTTTGTAAAGATTTTTTGATTTTACCCATAGTCGTATTTAATAAAAACAATTAAAAAACACACCTAATATGATAAATAAAATAATAAATGTTCAAAACTGGTACATTAGATAATCACCATTTGTTGCCACCGAGTGGCCACAACTGGGAATATTACAAAATGTATGTACCTGATTGGCAACTGTACTGTAAACCGTCTTAATGTTGATAATTTACTTAATGTAAGGTGTAACATAAAATATTAGTATATATTTACTATGTTGAAACACTTTTCTTACAATTAGTTAACAATAAATAACGAAAATTAATATTAATATTTTGTGGTTTTCTTATCAAAAATCTTTAAAATGATAAGATTTTATAAAATCTGTAACTGAAAAAAATATTGTCAAATAGTTAATAAGATGTTATCATTTATTCATGGAAAAATAAAATTACATTGTACAAAAGCATACAATGTGAGCTACTCTGGTCCAAAGATATTAATTAATATATGCTTAATAAATCAACAAAATAATGCAATTGGCCATAACTGGTACAGTGGCCAGAACTGGTACACTGACCTGTATGAAATTTATGTTGATTTATACTTGTAAATCTTAAGGAAATAACAAAGGAAAATATGGTTAAAAAACAATCACCATTCACCATACATATTATAGATGAGGTAGCATAGTAATTTCAATAGTTTTTATTTGGTTATGAATGTTATGATAACTTATTAGCAAAAGTTGTATTTATTTGAATTTAACTAAGATAATCCTTATTCATTTCACAAAAAAATTGATGATGTAAGTATGTAACATTCAATAGAAACGTAAACAATTTAATGGTGACATGATATTTTAATTTATTACAATAATAAATACTTAGGACTTACCTATCTACAAAGTTTCCATTGAAAATATTTTTCACTCAGACAGAATTTGAGTTCGGAGTATCCTGATACTCCGAACTCAGAGCTCGAAGACGGTTCGGCGAACGTGCAATAGGCGCCAATTGATATATTATGGTTTATGATTCTCTAATTATCAAATAATTTAGGTGAAATAGTATACAATAGTTTATACCGTTATCATTTGTGTTCAAGACTCTTGTCTCATAATTCATAAATCATAATGCTTGATATTTTAACTGTTAAACTTGAAGTCTTGAACGAGCATTTTTATATTAGTATAGATGAAACACGAAAATATTATTTCAAAATTTTTATTCGATGTTTAGTTAATAAATATAGAACCCGAAAAAACCACGCGTGTGTCGCGCACCCGTGCGCATCGTGCGTCGCCCCGCGCCCTCCACTCACAAGTAGAGGTGGGAATTTCAACTCATTTTGATGAATCAGCTCCTGTGAATCAGTTCATTTAAATGAACTGAATCATCAAATCAACTCTCAACTCTTTTTTCATAGTTCTTAATTCATGAATACCACCTTGGTTATTTTGATTCATGATTTACTTGTGAACTGACCACGGATTACGGACGTACAATACTACAATGTACTTACAGGACTGGGCGCGAGTCGTTATCACTGTTATCAGTGTGAAATTAGTGTCACACTCGGGACCATAGGAATACACATTGCGGCATCTATTTGTGTTATATTTAATGTCGAAATTATTTTATTATTTTTATTTTCATTTTAATTTTTAACACTGAAATGGACATATACTATAAGTACTTAAACCACGGACGCTCGTGACTTATATTAACGTATATTTAAAATAATTATGAAAATTGTAGTTATAAAGTATTGTGATTATTCAACATACATGTTGAATAAAATAATTTAAAATTGAACTATAGATTTACAAAATGATGTGCACACAATATTATGCTACCTCTTAGTACCTAATGTAATAATATTTTATGAGTTGAATATTATGTATGTACCTACTATATGTATTGAAATAAAAAATATGATTATAAAATAACAGTTGTTTGTATTATTATTATAATTATTACTTATTGAGGAGTTCTGGACAAATTAATCTAAAAATAACTATCATCCTATATGATGGTCCTTATAGTAGACATTTGCATAACACAAAATGATTTGATAATCATTATGTATTAAACATATTTAATTGAATCATTCAATTCAATTAAAACTGTATAAAGTATTTTCTAAGCTTCTTTAGCTGCATACAAAAAAAGTGTAAAATTATAAAATGAGTAAGACTAGTGTTGTTTGGAACTATTTTAAACTGGATGATAAAAAAAAAATGTAAAATGTGGTTTGTGTCGTCTTGAAATGAAACACAACCAAACATCCACTTCTAACATGATGAGACACATGCGTTTAAAACACTCAACAATTGATTTAAACAAACGCCGTCCTTCTAATATGCATGTTGAAGAAAATAATGTTGATGACCCTATAGTAATTGAAAATCAACTTGCATCTACTTCAGTGAGTATTTTATGTACATTTCCTACAGATGAAATATTAATTAATAAAGTATTGACGGTTAAAATGCAATACAATAATTGGTAGATTATAAACTAAATACATGTACCTACCTATCTGCTTGATTAAAAAAAAAAAAAAAAAAACGCTAACTACAAATTAAATTTCTTTTTTTATTTAATTAGGAAAGTTAAGATTTCAATGACAGTGTAACAGTACTTATTATATTAAAACTGCAAATATTTATTGTAATTTTATTTAAATTAATATAACAATTAATAATATTTCATTGGTCTTTCTCATGAATAATAAATTATGAATTAATGTACAGACTTGTCTTATTTTTTCATACGGAAAAAAAATAATTTCATCATAATTAAATTACAATATTTATATTTAACTATACATTTTATTTTAGTCGGACTCTCAAACTCACATGGCGACATTAAATGTTCATAGACCAACAGTTCATAACGTACAAGACACAATTACAAGGTATTTACCTAGACCAGTAGGAGCTTCCCGACGAACTTTGATTGATCAGCAAGTTTTAAGAATGATAGTTAAGGAATATTATCCATTCAGTATTGTCGAGGACAAAGAGTTTGGTAAACTTTTAAAAATGTTAAACCCCGGATATGATTTACCATCCAGAAAAACTCTGTCAACTTCGTTGCTTTCTGTTCTTTACAATGAGACATATGATAAAGTCAAGTCCGATATAGTAGAGAATGGTAATTTTGTTAGTATCACGACTGATGGTTGGACATCTGTAAAGAATGAAAGTTACATTGCTGTTACAACACACTTCATAGACAATGATTGTAAGCTTAAGTCATACTTACTCTCTTGTTTTATGTACTCAGAATCACATACCAGTGATAATTTGAAAAATGAACTTTTAAGAGTTATAAAAGAATGGGGTTTGGAACATAGAGTTTCAGCTTGCACATCAGACAATGCACCAAATATAACAAAGGCAATTGATTTATGCAAATGGAGGCATGTACGTTGTTTTGCTCATAGCTTGAATTTGGCTGTACAAAATGCTATAAAAGAAATTCAAGAGGTCAAAGAGAAGGTTTCAGGTATAGTTAGACATTTCAAAAAAAGTTCTACTGCTGCAGGCAAATTAAAATCGATCCAAGAACAACTGGGCTATTCACCTCCACTTGTTCTTATCCAAGATGTTGTGACAAGATGGAACTCTACTTTTGAAATGTTTCAACGAGTAGGTACTTGACTTGAAGATTCCTCTTTCCACAGCATTAGCAGAAACCAATTATAATGAGTATCTAACAAATAATGATTGGATAATTATTACTAGAGCCTGTGAATTATTAAAACCATTTAAAGAAATCACTACTGAAATCAGTTCTGAAAAATCCGTGACAATTTCAAAGATAGTAGTACTAAGTAAATCCCACATTAAATACTGTAACAAAATAAAATCTGAACATAATACATGCATGCAAATTTCAAAAATGATTGGTGTTCTAGTTAGTGAAGTAGATGCACGGTTTAGGTCATTGGAACTAAATCCATTGTATGCCGAATCTACAATATTGGACCCAAGGTTTAAAAATTATGGATTCTTGCATCAGTATGCATTTAGTGAAGGTAAAAAGTCCTTAATTAGCAAAGCTGCAACAGTTAATATTGTAAGTAATACTCAAGAAGTCACTGTATTGCCAAATCAGACTGACGATGATTCCATATGGAATGATTTTGACAGTGAAGTGGGTTCAATAGTTCAATCTTCCAATCCTACAGCAGCATTTATCGTTGAAATCGATAAATATCTGCATGAACCACTTCTGTCACGGAGAGAAGATCCCCTGCTTTGGTGGAAACTAAATCAGTATGTGTACCCAAGACTTTTCAAATTTGTTAAAAAAAGGTTTTGTATCATGGGTACATCTGTACCATGTGAGCGGATTTTTTCCAAAGCTGGACAGACAATCACAAAAAAAAGAAGTAGGCTAACATGTTCAAAGTTTGAACAAATGATTTTTCTTAATTTTAATTTAGAATAAAATGTATTTTGTAAGTCAACCTACCTATTGAGCATTTTATAAAAATGGCAAGCTTGCAACTGTAATATTGTAAAATATTGATTAAATAAGTAGTTTATTCCTATTCCATAATATTTAAAAATGTAATTTACTTATTTCTTATTTTGTTCTTTATAAAATACTTATGTACCAGTTTGTTATTACTAATTTTTACATTTTATCTTGATAAAATTATTATTAAAATAAATAACTCACATTAAATTTTAATATTAAATAATCTATCATCCCTCATTGGATTATGATTTTGTTATTGATATTTGATTCATACTTCATAGTTCATAGGTAATTTTGCTAATTGCTATTAGTTAATACTTATTAGTATTAGTTAATAGTTATTACAGAATTACCTAGTTAATAGTTATCACTTGTCAGAAATTAAATAATTGAATTTAAAAAAAATGCTTTATTTATTATCATAGACTAAAAAATAAAAATAAAAAATGTGATTTCTGATTACTAAGAGATAATTAACTGAATATGATTTCTGAATTAATTGGCTGTTATCACGTTAGTTACGAGTCGTATGAAATGAATTGTAAAACCAGTGACCCGTGACTTGTGACTCGTGACTCGTTTCACGAATCCTGGTAAATTGATAACTCAAACTCTGTTTTGAACTACCTAAATTTGGTTGGTCAAACTGAGTCACTGAGTTGCCGAATCTTGAATCACTGATTCAACTCTATTAGTTCATTTGAAAGAGTCGACTCATTGAGCCGAGTAGTTCATGAACTACACATGCCTATACAATGTACCAAATAAGAGCGCACCGCGCTGGCGCATCCAAATGAATCGCGGAGCGACGGCTGGACCCCCTGGTCGGGTCTATTCGCTCTGTGATTGGTCGCCGATCGTCGGTCGGATTCGCCGCCGTCGACGCCGCCGTGAATACAGGGAACTGAAGTAATAATGCGTTTCACGCGTATTATTCAGTAAAATAATACACATACTTTTCGTTTTTTTTTCTGCATACAGTGACACGTGTAAATAAAACAAAGACAAATTCAAAATATTCACCAATGCGGGCAAAAAATATAACAACGTCTAACCGCGTATACCGTTAAAATTGGTGTGATAATATACAACACTCTGTATTCAGAGTTGACCTGGCCGGCGCCGGAATACGCTGCGGCAGCGCTCTCTGACATGCGCGAGTTTCGACCGGTTTTCGTGCGCCGCCCGGTGCGTTCTTATTTGGTACAGAGTATACTCACAAGTGTCACACAGCCCATGCGCGGGCGAATTAGGTATTTCTATTTATACCAAAAATTAAAATCCCCATAATGGCATAATATATAGATCTTCTATTATCTAAGAAAATCCACTGGTCTCTTTCCGGAAATATCTATATCTGTATTCTGTATACATGAAATTCTTGATAATATCATTATTATGTTTGGTTATTGGCAGGGACGACGCTAGGATTTGCGGGGCCCTGGGCAAAATAAATAACAGTTTATATGTGGTCTTCTGAAATCTATATAGGTACACAAACATTGTTTCTCTTAACTCCGCTCGAAAACTAGATTACATATTATCCAAACTAACTAGGTACCTACTTAATAAATCAATTTTATCAAATATCAACCATCAATTTATACATAATTTATATTTTATTTTAATAAATTATTATAAAATAATTTTAAAATGTAATGAATATAACAGAAAATAAACACATTTAACCCAAAATTTAAATACCATAATTTAATAGGTAAATTATGAAATTATACATTCACTCACTGTTCTCATACCTATTATACCACTCTTAGATATTGTAGTAACCAAGTTACTACGCAACTGTCAAAATCATCTCAAAAGGTATTATATCTAGTATAACATTTTATATTAATTACAAATAAAATAATATAAAATAGATATAAATTAAATACGTAATAATATAATAATATAAAATAATTATTATTAATTTTATAAATTATTATCGGACTGTCTGTGTGAATATTTTATATTATAATATTTATATTTTTAATACTTATTAGTTATTAATTATTATTAATACTATAGAATGTAAGTTGAATCAATATTATAAAATTACAACAAAATAGGTAATTAAAATCGTAATTCTTGGTTATTTAATATGTAATTTCTTCCAAATTTGAACATAAAATACCTAACTATATAAAAATAAAAACCGTGATTTATATTTTTAAGATTTTTTGGTTACAAAATAACCCACTTACGTCTACGTGGAACCTTGTTGTAAGTTTTCATTCCTTAGATATAAAATTTGAACATTCAAAATCCGATTTTGAGTAAAAATTCTCGTTTTTCCTTAATTTTTATACTAATCTAAATTTTAAAGTTTTTTATTCAATTTTAATAACAATTTTAAGTACACATCAAAAATCTTGATGACTAAATATAAGATCCCAAGTAAGTTGTTCTTAAATGATTCGAAATTCAAAAGATTTGAAATACATGTAGGTACCTACTTTGTACTTACACTATTGATTTGTTTGAAGTCCAAATTTTGAGAAAATTCGTCCAAATCACGGAAACTTGCAAATTATTATTTTCTAGTTTAAATATACTCAAGTGTTAATTATAATAGCTACAGCTTGGAAATTGAATACAATGTTTCTCGTAACTCGTAAGTATTAATTTTCTGATCGGAAACTTTGGGTCAACCCGTATCTCTAATTTCTAAGGATATTTTATATTTTGTATTGTATTTATTATTTCTATATAAGTATATAATTCTGAGTACCTAGGTATATATACTCTGTACCAAATAAGAGCGCACCGCGCTGGCGCATCCAAATGAATCGCGGAGCGACGGCTGGACCCCCTGGTCGGGTCTATTCGCTCTGTGATTGGTCGCCGATCGTCGGTCGGATTCGCCGCCGTCGACGCCGCCGTGAATACAGGGAACTGAAGTAATAATGCGTTTCACGCGTATTATTCAGTAAAATAATACACATACTTTTCGTTTTTTTTTCTGCATACAGTGACACGTGTAAATAAAACAAAGACAAATTCAAAATATTCACCAATGCGGGCAAAAAATATAACAACGTCTAACCGCGTATACCGTTAAAATTGGTGTGATAATATACAACACTCTGTATTCAGAGTTGACCTGGCCGGCGCCGGAATACGCTGCGGCAGCGCTCTCTGACATGCGCGAGTTTCGACCGGTTTTCGTGCGCCGCCCGGTGCGTTCTTATTTGGTACAGAGTATAGGTAATGTTAGTGATTTGAGATTTCAACACAAATAATATTCCTATTTGTTTTAAGATAGGCTATACATTAACAAACTATTCAGCTTGCATTTAGCCAACTGTTCTATGATTTAGCTATTTAGGGTATAGAAGGCCAGTATTCAAGGTTGTTTTTAAAATTAAAAATAATATAGGTAAATATTCGTTTACGGTTTATTCAATAAATAACAATAATGTACCTAATATTATTATTATATTTATATATCTAGAAAATGGCAATAGAATTATTTGTTGAACACTTTAAGTCGACGATTATTCATTGTAATTTTGTTTATTTCGTCAAAAATGATTTTATTTTATAATTAATAAAGACGATAATATAACGAAAATAATATGATCCAGAAGATACTTTCGGTTAGGTCTAGGTGTATATACGTATAGCAACTATTTAAATGATTAAATCATGAAATATGAGAAAAATACCAACAATATAATTTATGATCAACTAGGTAAATTAAATGTATACGAATATTTGACTTTATACGAATTTTAAAGATTGTATTCGTGCAATATGTTCTTCGACGCTCGACATTAACGTCGATCGGAGCCCGGTGAACGGTGGTCAACAACGATATCGTAGCATAATGGACGACACGTGTGGCCGCCGGCCAGCATTAATGGGATATTGAGAATTGGGATGCAAATTGCAAGCTTCACGACGCGCAGGAGTGCAGCCGTGCAGGACTCGTCAGGGTGGACGGGCGGCCGGAGCTTGCGCTGCCGCAGGTCGAAAAATAAAATATGCCTAAAATATGCCTCATACATTTTGGTTGTAAATGGCAACGTTAGTTATGACCAAATTAGGCAACGTTGTATCGTAAAGCTATGATGGTGATGAAACGTAAATTACGTAGAGGTGTCAACCGCACAATTACATTTACATTTATAATATAATTATAATTATTATTTTTATATTTTCCTTATAACACGGTGCGCGCTCTATTGACAGTTCTAGTGAACTAATTCATTACGTATCATAATATAGGCAAGATGGTCTCTCTATACTATCTATACTCAATGGTATTACATACATCTAAGGCCCTATATATATGCACGACCAAGGTCATGTTACATCCGTAAAGAGAGTGAGTCTTATGCTCGTATATAACTAGTTACTAAATTGTACACATGTGTCAAGGCTGACTACATATACTACATATTAATTGTATATTTCAACACATATGTTGTTTTTTATTGCCATATTTGAAACAAACTATGAAACAAACTATCATTTTGAAAAAAAAAAAAAAACTTTCTTAAGTTTGTCTAAACATATTAAGTAGGTATATTATAAATTATAATAATAATTATAATATTATATTAGCTGTTTGCATACATTAACAATAATATGCATACAAAATATTAAATCTTAGCAACCCTGATATAAGCTAGACCTATGGTGATTTTCTATCATTAATAAAGTTAAAATCAACGTAATAGTAAAAGTGTTATTGATTTCATTTGACTAATAAATGATTTGGAAATCAATTTAATTATATAAAATCACATGGGATAGCAGAGAAGTTAAATAAATGAAACAATAATGTCTAATAGTTAGCTACAACTAAACGATGATTTATTTTGTTACATATAATATCTACAAATCATCGATAGACAGCATTCAAAAAATAATAAATTAGTGACTACCATTAAAATGAAAAAATTACATTACAAACCAATACAAAACGGCTAAAAAGAAACGGTAATAAGAAATCGAATGTAAAAAGCCGAGTTAAATAAAAAATCTAAGTTGGATGATGTTTATTTTATTTTTTCAACATCAATTTTTTATCCAATTTAGTTTTTTATTCAACAAGACTTTTTATGCAATATAGATTTTTTCTATAAAATGACGTTTTTAATAAGGTAGGCTTTTTATCCAATTAAGATTTTTTATTCAAGAAGGCTTTTTTTAGAATTATTATTTTTATTAAGGTTTCCATTTTTTTTTATCAAATTTAGATTTTCATTCAACAAGGCTTTTTATTCAATCTAGATTTTTTAATAAAAATCACAGTTTGTCTCAAATTTATTTCAATAATGAATTCTAATTAATCTAAAAAAACTGAAAAATTAATCTTAAAAACTATGAATAAAATTGAACCATAAAAATTATTACGATAACTGACTGAAAAATTAATGTATATTTAAAATAAATAAAAACAAAATAATTAAAACAATAAAAAATATAATTGACACATAAAAATTATAAAAAAAATAATAATTTAACCAATTTTAATAATTGTTGTCATTTACATTTATTTAGAAATCTTAATAAATTATGGTTATTATTTAACTGTTTTTTTTTTATTCAAATCTGTTTTTATATTCAATTTCGACTTTTCTTATCTTATTCGGATTTTTTATTCAAAATGGCTTTTTAACTGAATAATATTTTTTTTTTCAACAAATCTCGTTAGATTTTTATTCAACTTTCCATTTTTTTTTTATCCAATAAGCTCAAATAAAAATCTTGTTGAATAAAAAACATGGATGAAAGGAAGAAAATTCAAATAAAAAATTTAAATTGGATACAAAAAAGTTGAAAGTAGAATAAAAATCTAATGAGACTTGTTGATTAAAAAAACTTAAAAATAACGAATTAGATAAAAAAATCTAAAAAAGAGCCTTGTTGATTAAATTGCTCTTTTTTTATCCAAATTTGTTCTATAATCAACAAGACTTTTAATTAAATTTTTTTTTTTAAAATGGTTTTTCAAAGCCTTGTTGAATATAAAATGTAAAATAGATAAAAATTCCAATTTAGGGCATTTCCCCAGCCCCCCACCAAAATTTTAGTTTTTAAAAAAAAACCAAATCTCTACAAACGAAAATAATTTGATTACAAACCAATACAAACCGGCTACAAACGAATGGTAAAAAAAAAAATATGAAAATTCCAAATTGGGGGGCTGGGGAAATGTACCTATAATTAATGTACCTAATATTTATTATTTTCGTTATTTGTTCACCAATCGGAAATCCCTATTGTTGAGTGAACTCGCAATTCGTATATTTAATAAAGTTGACATAGTGGCATAGACGCATGTTTATATTATTTAATATTTTAATAGTGGAGAATACCAGCTATTAACTAGGTGCGAGTTAGTCGTCAGCGTCGGTAGTCGTGGTTTTTAACTATTTTAAGGTACCTATACTCTGTTCCATCTAGTGAACCACTCGGCTGACCAAAACATGTTTTTTCCGCGCATTCCCACCACAATCCGGACATCGGTGGGAGTCTTGACACGGGCGCCCGACGTCCGACGGCGGCCGGCGATCACTGTCTGCCAATCACAGAAATCATAGCCATCGCATGAGGGGTCGGCACTGTTCGGCGGCTCAGTCTGCGTGTGCGAAAGCGGTTCACTCTTAGATGGAATAGAGTATAATAAACTATTTAATTATATACCTATAATTTTCAACGAAGTATATATGATATTATAGTGTACAATTATGTCGTCGAGACAGTACCCAAGTGGTTCGTCTAAAAGGAAATTAAAATTAAAAATGCAAGAAGAAATGAATAAGTATAGAGGTAGTCTTGATAGTTTTGTAAAAAAATCATTGAACTTAGGTAACTTAGCCATTTTTTATTTTTGTGTTTATTAAGGTGTCAGCGCACTAATCGTTTTCTCTCTCTGGCCCACTTGTAACATAGACAAAACGTATTTACGCAAAATCATTTTTTCTATACGTTTAAGTAATCTTAGAGTAAAGTTACCTATTACAAAAAAGATAATATTTCTGAGGGAATGAAATATCGATTTTATATTTTATTATTATTTGACTTTGTATTCGACTATTTCGACTTTCAAAATAAACAAAAAAATTTTGTAAATTTAAATGATGTTTAAATTGTTTTGAGACAATATTTAGACAAATCGATGTTATTCCCTCGAAAATATTATTCTCTATCTTTTTTGTCATGACTTAACTCTAAGATTATTTGAAAACATAGAAAAAACGATTTTGCGTAAATGCAGTTTGTCTATGTTGCGTGTGAGCCAGAGAGAAAAAACAAATAGAGCTCTGACAGCCTCTTAAAATAAATTTAATGTCTATATATATTACACATTTCTATAGATACTCCTGTTCTTCAAAATAGTGCTAATAATGGTGCTGGTTTTAGTTTACCTTGAGAAGATGATGAATTTAACATATCAGAACAACCAGGTTTTTTTTTTTTTTTGTTATTTTCATTTGTTTCTTATGGAGTTTATATCAGTCTATTAAAGATGAATGAATAGTACCTATACCTAATTGTGGTTGGATTATTTTGTTTTAATTATGTTAATCATCAATTAATAGGTATCTCATTTTTAATTTTAACTCTGAGAAAAGATAGGGCTTTATTGATGCTGATACTACCTTAAATGTATCAAATGGATCTATTTGTAATAAAACCAATAGTGATACAATAGTAATGCATTACAGCCACTAGGTAAAATAAATAGTAATATGTTATAAATCATGTATTTTTTAATATCACTTTATAATTAATTTTTAGTTTTTAAACTTATAAATTGTTGTACACCTTTGCACTTTGCTAGGATTCAATATTCTTCATGAATATCCGACTGATAAGATTTTATTTTGAAGAAAATATTCAAAACATTGCTATTAAGAAGTGTGTCTTGTCATATGGACCATGTCGACCTGATATTGTATTTCCTATTCCAAATGAGAAGATGGCTCATCTCCTCATTTTTCTCCCTATTATTATGAGCAAACCTTAAAATCTGGTGTAAAAGTGCCAAGACTTTAGCTATGTTATTCAGTTGGTTTGGATTGTGCATATTGTGAGACATGTAGGCTCTTTGCTAATCGCCATTATTCATATTTTCAAAAAGCTTGAATTATTGGTGTCAATGACTGGCAAAATTTAACTAATAAAATAACAACCCATGAAAAGTCATTGCAACATATTGAAGCAAGTAAAACTCGTGCCTTATGGAAACAAAATGAAACAATTGACAAAATATCTGAACGACAATACTCAGAAGAGGCCTTGTTTTGGAGAAATGTACTAAAGAGAACAATAAAAATAATTATTTTTCTATCTGCTGGCCACACAGCACTAAGAGGCCACGAACACAAACAAAAATGTAATTCAGAACATTTTGATGGTAAAGGTACTAACTGAATTATATTAAATATACCTACCAACTAATAATTATAATAAAAAATGTTTTATTTTTATTTCTTAGGTAACTTTATGCGTTCAGTACATTTGTTAGCTGAATATGACCCTATTCTTAATCAACTTCTAAATTATGAAAAAAAAGGTAAAATACTTCAGTTGGAAGGTACAAAATGAAGTGATTGAATTACTTGCTACAAATATTCGAAACCATATTTGTGATGAAATAAGAAATTCACAATGTTTTTTCAATAATTATGGATTCCACTCAAGATATTGTAAAACTAGATCAGGTCAGTGTTGTGATACGGTATGTAGTAATAAATTATGAAGATCTTGATATTAGTATTAAGGATTCATTTTTGGGATTTTTTAAAATTGATAAGCATGGAGCCCAAGACTATGAAGAATTAATTACTGAAATCCTACTTATGTTCAAAATAGACAACAATAAATGTAGAGGACAGGGCTATGACGGGGCTTCAGTCATGAGTGGAGTGTATAGTGGAGTTCAAAAACGTATAAAGGATAAGGTCCCCAATGCGTCGTATGTTCATTGCTGTGCCAACAACTTAAATTTAGTTATATCAGATGCTGCAAAATGTTCACCAAAAGTGGCATCGTTTTTTGATACTATACAAGCTATTTATAATTTTTTTAGTGGAAGTGCACCAAGATGGGCAATTTTAGCTTTTGGTGATGATCAGTCAAAAAAAATAAAAACTTAAGTTTTAAAAAAATTGTGTCCAACACGATGGGAATCACGGCACGAATCTCTCCATGCGTTGAAGTCAAGGTTTATTGCTGTACTAAAAGCATTAACCAATATGTCTTTGACTAGTACAAAAAAAGAAGAAATAAATACTAGTTTTTCTTTAAAAAAAAATTAGAATCTGTTGAATTTGTATTATTATTATGTTTATGGGAGCATATTTTAAGACATTACACATTGTGTCAAAGACACTTCAGAACCCACATACAAATTTACAAAAAAAAAGGACTCTTGTCAATTTAATCAACTTTTCAGAACAGCTGTTTGAAAGTTTGGAAATTCCTACACGTTTTAGAATTACAACCATGAATATTATAGAAATCATGTATGTATTTTAATTAAATTCTATGTACATTTATAACTTAAAACTCTTGAATTTATAATTATTTATAGACTTAACTGTAGTTAAGCCTTTTGGATTTCACTCTTTCTGACTTAAGTCTTTTTTTTTTTTACAACATAAGCCTTTTGGATCAAATAAATTATGACTTATGTGATTTTGATCGAAACTTAGATATTTACCTTTAATAAAAAGGAACTCATTATAATAATAACTAGTAGGTGTTTAATTACAAACTAATACTTTAGAATACATTTTTAATCAATAGTACATCATATAATATTTTGATATAAGAATTTAAGTTTATAACAAATAAGTCTTAAAACATAATAATAAAAAAATTTAAAATAGATTTTAACTTTTTTAATATAAAAATTAATAAAATAAATAGTATTCCATTTAGTTTTATTTGACATAAAATGATTAGATTTAATCAGATTCGCTGATATCTGGATCATAGGATGGGTCTTCACTTTCATTGCTTTTTATATTTTTATAAAAAATCATGATAGATATGAGGAATTAGAGGAAGGAGATATATTAAGTCTTTTTTTTTTCTTTTGAAATTGGTAATGGTTCATTGTATGCTTGTTCTAATGCAAATTCTACATTTCTTGTTCCCCTTCTTCTTAAATTTAATGTTTTAAATGGTTCATCTTCACTAAGACTTGTTTTATAAAACATTTTACCTATCACAGAAGAATAATATCTGACCCATGATACATCATGCCAAAGAAACTTGTCCATGTTGAAATATACAATTAATATGTAGTATATGTAGTCAGCCTTGACACGTGTGTACAATATAGTAACTAGTTATGTACGAGCATGAGACTCACTTTCTTTACGGATGTAACATGACCTCGGTCGTGCATATATATAGGGCCTTTGATGTATGTAATATTCACTTGCACAGGCGTCGTTGTACAGAGCGTATACGATGTGTGTGTACTGTCACAGTTTAATTGTCCAGTTGTACGTTATTATATATTATACTTATACATAATCATATTGTCGTGTTATTACTTATTATATTAATGCTAACATCATTAGTCCGTCAAGCTTCACTTTCAACAGTCCACTTCTTCATTAACTTTTCTTAAAACTTAAGGTCCTTTGACAATTTTAGCGAAGTTCAAAAATTCATTCTGTTTCATCTCATGGACATGAAATGGTTTTCTTTTGTTTGTGCAACTTATTAAAGTTGCCCAATCTCTTGGGTGAGCTACAGTGAATTCAGATTTTTTTTTTGCTTTTCAATAAGAGAATGGTCGGTATCGCATTCCATATGAGTGTGTCATGGTTCCAAAAATTTGTGGTTTATCTCATTCAGACTTGTTTTCTTCGATAGCAAAACATACTAGACAAATGAGAATTTTTGTTTTGTCTAGCGCAAGAATCTGAATATAATGTGACTACTTTTACAGTATCAGGCAGCTGCATAAGATTAGTATATACACATGATGCAATTTAATTTCCTCCTCTATGTGCAATTGCTTCATGCCATAAATAACAAGAAGCTTGACCTGATTGGAGATCATGTGTGGTCAAGTTGTAAGTCCAGTATAAGCGTTTATAAAAAGTTACAGAAGTCTCCAAGAAAGGTGTTGGTAAACATTGTTGGAGATCAAAAGCAATACAAACTCTTGTTGGATCCAATTTTGATACTTCTTTGTCATGACGCTTGGAACTGTAGGCATTGTCTGCATTTTGAACATGTTTATCACGTTCAGTAATTAAATTCGTTTTGGTTTCCTCATTGTTTTCCATTTCAATTCGCATTTTGAATGTATCACATTTGTGACATGTATCAGCTTTTGGCACATTAAAACGCAGATTAGTAGTTTTAAATTGTTTTTCATAAGTAGTTCTTCCAACTGCTTCACTGGTTGTCAATCGATACAATTCATTTATTTTTATTTTATTTTATTTTATTAGAATTAACGCCAGTCGGCTTTTACAAAATTTACATGGAGTGTACAAGATACAGATACAAGATATATAAACATTTTTTTTTTTTTTTTTTTTTTTTTTTTTTTTTTTTTTTTTTTTTTTTTACATATGAATAAATTAAATAAGTTCTAGATAGATAACATAATGATAATAAGAAATAAATAACATGGTAATAGAAGTAATAAGCTAACGAAAATGTGAGCCTCCGTACTACGGGTATTACAGTAAGTTCGCTAAGCGCATTAATCTTGGTAATGGGGCATTTCTCGCAAAGTTAGACGTATTGTTAGGGGGATAGAAAGAACACTGTAACCTAGTATTATTGGGTATTCGAAAATCAAGTTGTTCGAGAAGCCTAGGGGCATCGACTCTACCCTCAATTAAACCTCGAATAAAATTATTACCAAGGTTATCACGCCTAGTTTGGAGATAGTTGAGCTTAAGGGCTTGTATAATAGGCCTGTAATCGTGTTTTGGGTGAGGGATATTGAGACAGAAGCCAACAAAGTTCATAAAGTAATTTTGCACCCGATCAATCCGTCGAATGTCAGCAGCGGTGTATGGTGACCAGACTACGCACCCATATTCGAGAACTGAACGAACCAACGAGTTGTAGAGAACCAGTAGGCATTTAGGGGAACTAAAATTAACAGTATGTCTCTTAATAAAACCCAGTACGCGAAAAGCTTTACTAGTCATGATATCGATGTGAGGACCAAAGTGGAGTGAAGGCACAAACAGAATGCCCAAATCCTCGACTTGGTTAACACGTTGAATAGATAGACCGCTTAGGTTATAGTCAAAGGTAATGACTGACCTAGAACGATGAAAGGTCATTACTTTGCATTTGGCAATATTTAGCGACAAATTAAAAGAATTGCACCAGGCGGCAAATTTATCAAGGGAGTTTTGGAGGGTGAGGCAGTCATTGTATGAGGATATCATTTGGAAAATCTTAGAATCATCGGCAAACAGAAGAAGGCGACAAGGAGAAACTGTTGAGCACACGGTGTTAATAAAAATATTAAATAAGAGAGGTCCTAGGTGGCTACCTTGTGGAACTCCGGATGACGCTCGAAAAAGATTGGATGACTTACCGAAGAGACTTACAAATTGGTGCCGCTCGCTAAGATAGGAACTAATCCACGATAGGAATGGCTCACCAACGCCTAACCTGTCAAGAACATAAAGCAAAGCTCTATGATCTATAGAGTCGAATGCTTTGGAAAAATCGGTGTATATGACATCAACTTGATTACCTAGTTCAAACGCCTTATGTAAAAAGGAAACAAAATCAACATGGCTGGTAACAGTTGAGCGACCAGGAACGAACCCGTGCTGGTCGATTGATATGATCGATGAAAATTTACGTTTAATTTGTTTAAGAACAATTGATTCGAATAACTTACCGAGGAAAGGTAAGCCGGAGATGGGTCTGTAGTTGGCAACATCGGTCGGATTACCAGACTTTAAAATGGGTGTTACACGACTAATTTTCCAGGCGTGAGGGAAGACACCTTCGGCAAGAGACTTGTTAAAAATTAAAGTTACGGGTAAAACGAGAGTGGCCCGACATCGGTACAGTAGAAGGGCAGAAATACCATCTGGCCCAGGACCACGGGTATTTGATAGGGAGTTTAGGGCTTCATTGACCTCTTCAGTAGTAATCGATAAAATTGATGGGAGAAAAGAAAATTCTTGATTAGTACACTCATCGGATAAAGTGTTTGCCGTAAAATGTGAGTCATTATATACCGAGGAGAAGTGTGAGGCAAACAAGGAAGAAACATGTTCGCCAGTGGCTTTAGTTTGGCCAAGATGGACCTCATCAGGTATCGAGTTGGCTCCACGTTTACTCCGAACGAATTCCCAAAATGATTTAGGTTTAGTACAAAAGCGCTCTTGTAAGCTATCCAAATAGTTTCTGTAAAGGCGCTTGGATTCATATTTACATCGTGCGCGTAGTCTGGAGAAGGTCATGTAACGATCATAACCCCCTAGTAATTTGTATAATTTGTGGGATTCTTTTTTCATTGAAATAAGATTAATTAGGCTCCCGGAGACCCATTTTGGGAAGGTAGAATTGCGAAAGCTACGTACTGGAACCCACTCCCGGATACAGTCTTGAAGAATTTTCTGTAGTAAATCTGCTGATTCGTTAGTCGATTTAGAATTAAGGGTATCGGACCAATCTATGTCTTCTAAGTAATGAGATATCATCTCATAATTAGCAGCTTTAAAGTCGTAGAACATGTGCTGGGCGTTGAGCATAGGGAGATCAGATGGAGAGGGACAGGAGATAGTGAGGGCCGGGTGGTACAAGTCACATGGAACCAAGGGATCGGCAGCCAGAGATACTTGGGTGGATGCGTTGTTGGTGAAGATTAAATCAAGAACGGAACCGGTGTTATTATAAATTTGGTTCTTTTGAGTAAAGTGAAGCAAACTAAAATGATCCCCAACAGTTCGAACCTTATCATTAATCCTACCAGTGTAGATAAAACCAGAATCCCCACTGGTCCAGGATACGTTGGGCAAATTATAGTCACCACAAACCAGACCAAGATTAAAGGCATTAGTTCCCCAGGCCTGGTCAACAGACTCAAGGTGACCTTCGTAAACCGAGGGGTTTAACCCTGGAGGTAAGTAAACTCCAACTGAAAAAACGGAGAGACCACTAGGAAGAGTGAACCGAACAAAGACTTGTTCACATTTATCATAAAGAGAAGTAATTAAGACTGGTCTAAGCTTTTTGTTGACTGCAATTAATACTCCCCCACCCCGTCGACAATTACTTGTTAGAACATTCCTGTCACACCTAAAGATTAAATATTCATCGAAACCTAATTCGGCATTCGAAATGTCATTAGAGAGCCAGGTTTCTGTTAAAACGTATGCATCATAGGAAGATAAAATAAAGTTAGTGTGGAGATTCAAAAGTTTAGTACGGAGGCCGCGAACATTTTGGTAATAAATTTGAACATTATAGTGTGGACTGGGTAAAATATTAGAATTATTGGACATAGAGATTAACGGGGATACATTTTTAGCTATAAAATTATTAAAATCAGAGAAAAAAGAGTTAAAGGTGGACTTAGTATAACGACAAAAAGTACAATTAGAATTATTTAGACAAAATGCATGCAAACCAGAGTTCAGATCATGAACTAATGAATAGGCTGGGTGGTATTTGGACGATGGTTGCTTCCTCTGGGATTCGTGTTTTTTGGAACAGCTTTAACTACAGTAGGAACTCCATTGACAAACGAGATTGTAAGATTGGTAGAGCCTGCGTCCTTTTTCTGCTCCAGATCAATATGCGCTTGACGTAAAAGATCGCGTTCTAGTGTAGTCTTGTCACGTACTACGCGAAAACCAGGTGTGGGTGATACTCCATTTCGAATCTGGGAGTTAAACTTGTAGATGAGTTGTGATGCATCATTCTTGGACTGACAGATGATTTTGAGAGGTCTTGGTTTTTTCGCAGTGCTATTCCCAAGGCGTATTAGCTTTGGTTCAGTGGGAACAGGAATAGAAATACTATTAAGAAGATTGCTTAAGGTGTGTAAGTCCTCTTCGGATCTTAGTGCAGCGGTGTTGGCACTTGACTCAGGCACACCATAGGCGATTGAATTAAATTCAATTTTCGACCGTTCAGTGGACTCACGAAAAATCACTGACGATAAATCGCTAGGATGGACCGGCCGTGATTCGAGAAGGTCAATTCGTGTTCGGAGATCTGAAATTTCGGTCCGAAAAGCAGCATTCTCGGTGGCAAGATCTGCCACTTTGGAGGTTAAACCGGAGATACTTGTACGGAGTTCTTGAAACTGTGACAATTGGGATGTAGAGAGTGAATTAATGGCTTTAAGAATGTCGTCATTGGTAGACATTTTCAAAGACTGTGACCGCGTATTAACAGGCTTTGTGTTAGGTGTTGTGGGCATAGTGACTAGGATAAGTGTAATAATTAATCAGGTATCCAGCGCAGAATAACGGTGATGGCAAATATCGATTTGGTAGGTAAATGAATTAGTTGTTTGAACAGCTAATAAATGAATTGTGCAGCAAACCGAAAAGCGTTATTTTATGATTTCAATGTTACGCCTTAAAAAGAGTGAGCGCAACCTATAATACAGCAATGTAGTTCGATGCAGCCAACCAAGTTAGACAAGTTATAATGTTATAATGGGCAATGATGATGCCCGGCGTTTAAGTCACTGAAGAAAAACAGCTGACTGGTTATATTAAAGAGTGGTCTTGATAAGACTTGATGATTGAAGTGATAAGACGTACCTGATGTCCACGAGTTACAGTTTGGTCAAAACAATATCAACACATTAATGTAATTTATCCGCTAACTTGAGGCTTGAAAACAGGTACAGGCAAAAATGTATTAAAGATGAGATTAATGGAAACAACCACGTAAACAAAGAAGAAAGAGAAAGCTAGAAATATAACCAAAACTTCATAAATTTTTGAAAGATTTAGATGGGCAGGTAAATATTTTTTTGATTTGTTTTACGTGTATAATGACTCTCATATGCAGGAAAAGAATTAATATGTCTATGGACATCCATAATAACAGCTTCACAAATTTTATTGGATGATCGTCCAAGCCCACGTTGATCCTTTTGTGTAATGCCAGTGACTGAATTATTCTTTTTTTCTATAACTTTTCTTGCAAATTTTTCTTTTTCGTCCAAAGTTGTCAAGAAACATTTTTTTGATGAAACGGATGAAACGGATACTATTAATAGTAAAAAAGTAGTTATATGTAAAATGTCATTCTTTCAATGATGTTATTATTAATACATTACCTACTGCAATACTTTGATTTTAAAATTATAAAAATTAAATAACAAAAAATACATACCCTATCAGTTGATTGTGTTTGGTTAAATGTATCAAATACTGCGGTCAATCCTACATTTTGTTTTTTTGTTCATGGTTCGGAATCAATAATTAATGTATCATTTGAAGTTTTTATCCAATATTCCCAAGCTTCAATACATTCTTCTTTAATAAGCATTTTTATTGCTGAGGTTTCTGCATCATGAGTTTCCAAAGAAATCACGTCAAACATAAATCTAAGATCAAGCACTGTACACATTTTTAAAATATCATTATTATTGTAACGAACATGAAGCAAATCAACCATTGTTTGAAGAACTGTTTTTTTCAATGTTTGATCAATATTAATTTCATTATCATTAGTTGCGGTTTCTGTTAGTTTATTTTCTACAATTTTTATGACTGGTATAATTGCTGATGCTGTTACAAATGTTTCACCTGCAAGATTGTCTGAAATTTGTCGAATTTAAAATTTTTGTTTTGTAAAACATGTATTAATGTTTTTAAGACAATCATTTCTTCTTCATTATACATTTTGTCTTTGTGAATGCCATTTTTATAACTTCTTAGAAATGATGCTAATGCTAATTCTTGAGATATGGCTATTTCTATTAGGTCTAACAATGGCCACCACCTTGTTTTTGAGTATGTTGGAAATTTCACAGTTGGAAACAAATCGTTGCTCAATGGACAATTCTCTAATAGCCGTCCAACTATAACCAAAAATGTTCTGAATTGTCTTAACTTTATTAACTTATAATAGTTTTAAAACTGATCTAAGTTGAAAACTCTTTTTATAGCTATATTGTAGCTATGTCCAAAACAAGAAACATGTGAAATTGATACATTATTTACTGCTTTTAATACATTAGCCCCATTATCAGTTGTTGTCGCTCCAATACCAACATTCATTTCTCGACCATACTCTAGTAAGATTAGCTGTATAGCATCTGCCAAATTTTCTCCTGTATGATTGTCTGACATTTCTTGACATCCAAGGCATACTGTTTCTATAAAATGTAATTATTATTATTATAATTATTTATATGTTATTTTATATTACATTGAATTATAATTTTTTACTTAAATTCATACTTTTATCCATGAAATGTCCAGTTAATCATACATATATGATATTTTATACTTATTATAATAATATTATAATAAAATATGATACAATATACATATTGCATATATTACCAGATTACCTATATGGCTATATTATGATTGTATTGCTTTTAGAAAATTTTGTAATTTTAGGTAAATTCACATACTGTTTTTATAAGTACTACTGGTAATCAGTACTAGTATTACTGTATAAGTTTTAACTATTACTACTAAATATATTTAATAGGAGTATTATTATTTTAATGTAATATTTAACTATGAAATAAAAAAAATCATTAAAATAATATAGTAATATAACATTTTTTAAATTAAATTAAAAAAAGGTGGGCAAGTGGGTGTCGCTCTGTTGTACAGTAGGTTACAAGTAACTGTAATAGATTATGTTAAATTTGAATCCAATGATATAAATGATATAATATCATTACATAAGATAAACGATTCTGAGCTAAGACGGTCAGCCTAGTCAGCCTACTTATGATATTACTAAGTATAGGTTTTAAATATTATTGTGAATAAAATAATTTGTAAATTATATACAACCAGATATAAACTATTTACATGGAACTTTGAAATTTTCAATCTTTAGCTATACAAGTTGAACATTATATAATCCCTAAAATAATATTGTACATTGCTACAGCAGTACCTATGTAAATAATAATTATATATGTAGTTTTACACTACCTTAAGGGATAATTTATATAGTAACAATCCGTGTGTTCCGAAATTCATCTGATTGGTCAGCTGCTGGATTTGACAGTTCCTAATTTCAGCAGATGACCAATCCGTTTGAGGGGAGGTAATCAAGCCGATTGATTTATCAGCAATCCGCTATTTTACAGATGGACTGACAATTAACCAGATTGATTTTATAACAATTGTTCCCGCCAAAATTAGTGTTTCTTAAATCTTGATATCAGTAATCAGGGTCCAAATTTTCTTTGGTCTTTTCTTGGTCTCCATTGATAGACAGACAGACCAATTTATTTCCATACGTCCGTACACATACGGTAAGCGTTTAATATTATAGTCTTTTTACGTTTTATACTTACCTTCATATTCCACTAAATTTTGTGATTCCGTGGATATGGATATCGATAAAGAAATGAGGTTTACCATTGAAGAATGTGTGTACGTTAAATATTTTGATATAATATGTACATTGTGTATATTGTATGATTATAGTAAGTATTATAGTATTATATTAAGTAATTTATATTATCTCACTTCTACCAATTTACTGAGTATTGAGTAAAAACTTGTAATTATTTATTTTGTAAAAAAAGTACCTTTTTTTTCTGTTTGAACCGATAACGCCTTCGCACTCTTCCGTGGCGCTAAAATAAAGTACCTATATCTACCAATAATTATTCAACATTTAAATGATGGATCTTCTCAAAAGCCAAATAAGATGAGACAGATTCGGAATTAAGGATAGTAAACTATACTAAGATTTTTATGAATTGAATATGATGTAATAAAACAACTGTATAATAAAATAAGTTATTAAGTTATTTTTATTGTTCTCATACATATAAAAGTTTTTTTTAAATATTAAGCTTAACACTACTATTATGTATTTTTGGGGCACTGTTGCTCCAAAATATTAAGATGTGTTTCTTAACATTAATAGTTTCACGCTTATTTTTTATTAGGTATAGACGAAGACTTATTGTGTTCAAATATTAAAAAAGTATTGTCAGAGTATGGTTTGGAATTCAAAGACAATCAAATAATACATGTTGAAATACCTGAATGGTAAAAATAAATAAACAGGTTTTTAATATTAAAATTAAATGTCTGTCTCAGGGATATGAATTATGATGTTACTTTTAAAGGAAAATGTATAGTCCAAACGTCTAATTTAAAAGATAATGAGCCCACTGACAACACTTTAGGTTAGTACACACATTTTGAAATATATTCATTATAAATATAATTACTATAACCCTTAGTTATAAAGTTATGTTTTACTCTGGTTGTGTATAGGTATATTAGATTTTGAAATAAATTCTAATGAGTCTCATACTAGTCATACTGAATCAAAAATGAATAAATCAGAAATTAAAAGTTGGACAAAACAAGCAACAAAACTCCTGATTAAAAATAGAGCTGACCTTGAAATTAATTTAAAATAGCAATAAAAAGAACTTCAAAATCTGGGAGAAAATATCAGAAAAATTAAAAGAAAGCGGCATTGCAATGACAGGACCAAATTGCAATATAAAATTTCGTAATTTAATGGCAACCTTCAAAGATAATCTGCATAGGGCAAATAAATCAGGGGAATCTGCCATTAAATTATGGGAGTATTATGACATAATGAAGCAATACTTTGGAAAAAAAGATTCAGTTGCTCCGAAGAAAAACACTTTAATAGAAAGTTCTCTTATGCCAGGTAAAAAAAATTCAGTTGCCCCAAAAAAAAAAACACTTTATTACAAAGGTCTGTTATGCCATTAAACATAGACATTGAAGTTAACTCTGATGAAGAAGAACAAATAATGCCACCAAAAAAAAAGAAAAAAAAACTTTCAAGAGGTTATCTTAGACGAAATGAAGGAAGACAGGAAGTCCAGAGACGCATTTCAAAGCAAACTAGAAAACTTTATGAACAAATTAATTGAAATAGAAACTGCTAAACTTGAAAAAAGTTAATTTGTAATTTTCCATTTTTAATAAAAAATGTTATATCCTATTAAAATGTTAAGTTTATAAGTTGTTGTTTTTTTTTTATTTAAACATGCTAATTGTAATAATAATAATTATATAAATATTATAAGTGCTAATATTCTTTATTAAATTCTTTAATGTATTAAATAAAAAAGTACATAAGTAAATAAAATAAAAATCTTCTTTGAAAAAATATGTTTTTAAATTATTTCATTAAAAGAACATTTCCCAACGAATTTAATCTTCATAAAACCTATAAAAATTTTTTTTTTAAATTACCATTAAAAAAAAAAGTATAAGTAATTGAGATCAATAATTCTAATTTGTTTGTTTGTAAATACCTTGAAGCAAGCATATTTCTTTTATCTATTCCGTTTTTTTGATTAAGCGATATAGGTAGGTACAGTAAATTCTTGGTTTGTTTCTGTCTCTTCGATTAAATGATCTAGATTGAGATGTTTAGTATCTGTATCGATTTCCATTAGGTCATTGCTTTTAAAAACTAGATTATGTAGTATACAAGCGCCTGTGACTGTCAAGCTTATTAATAATAAAACATTTTAATATGAAGGAATGGAACAAATACTACTACTTAAAGAAACTATAACTAATTACTTAAGTCTACGAAAACGTCCTAGTAATAAGCCAAAAGCTTGCTCAATTACTACACGAGTTGAACTTAATCTCTTATTGAAAAGTTTCTCTTTTTCTGATAGAATACGAACAGCTTTATAGGGAACAATGATACTTTCAAGTAAAGGGACTGTCGAATCACCAAGTATATGAACATCTTTAGTTACTATTTCTTGTGGATTATTTAATAGAGTGTCTCCCAATGAAGAGTTTTTGAAGACTAGCATCATGAGAGCTTCCAGGCCAACCAGAAAATATGTATGTAAATTCTAAGTTAGCATTGCATACAGCCTAAAAAAAATATTAAAAATCAATTAAAAAAGTATAACTGCATAAACATGTTATATATTGTATAATTTACCAATAGAACAATTGACTGAAACATCTTGCGGTTAGTATATTCACTTCTTTTGTATCTTGGAGAGTGTATCCGAATATGACAACCGTCAATACAGCCTATTGTATTAGGAATATAATTAAGTCTTAAATTTTTAAATTCTTGTACTGTAACTAAAAAAAAAATATAATTCATTTTAAACAATTTTAATGATTAAAAGAAATCACACATTACTTGTTTCAGAGATTCCTTTTGGACATATAATAAAATCATCAAGGAGGATTGAAAGTGATTGTAAATACTTATGTATTGTTCGACAAGCATGACCTCTATTCAAACCAAAACGATCACCAATTTGCCTTAAAAACATAATTAAAAGAAACATAGTAAAAATATCAATAAAAAAGTTTTTTTTTAAATTACCGAAATGTCTCTGTATTACTTAAATACCAAATGGTCATTAAGGTTGCTTTTTTGAAGTCAACTACAGGTCTTCCAATATTAGTATATTAGTATATTGTCAATGTTAATGTTTCCCCCGAAACTTCTTCTCTGGTCCCTCTAGACTATAAATTTCATCCTGCATTAAAAATTACACTTCCACTTTCATCCACAAAAAACAATTTATATTATAATGAAATTGTTCATGATTTTATCAATTGTGATTAAAATGTCATTAGGTCTTGTATGGCCTCAACTGATTGGAGTTGTACATTTAAAGATTTACATATTAATGAAGCACTTGATATATTCTACTCCAAATTACACGATATAATTAATGTACAATGTCAAAAAAAACGTATGTTCTCCACAAAGTATCCTTTATGGTTTTCCAAAACTCTGAAACAGTTAATTTTCTCAACAAATATATAAAATATATAAACAATCTCCAACTAATGTAAATTATAATATATTCTCTAATCTACGTGCTCAATGTAAAGTTGTTAATAAGACCGATTATGGAAATTTTATATAGAGAACTCAAAGTTCAATAGCCTCTAATCCTAAAAGGTTCTGGAATTATATTAATAGCAAACGATCAAATTCTAATATTCCATCTGTTATCTCATATAATAATCAAAGTGTTACTGGTGGTGACAAAATCGCGGAAAGTTTCGCCAATTATTATTCTACTATTTACCAACAATTAAATTTTATGCAAAAACCACCCGATGACATTAAATTGATGAAAGTCGATTTGAACACCTGCGTCATTACTTTAAGCGATATTTATGATGAGTTAAGCAGCTTAAAATCCACTAATTGTCCTGGTCCTGATAGTATTCCGTATATTTTCTTTACTAACTGTAAATGTGTTCTGTCTATCCCTTTATTATACTTATTTAATACATCACTTAAATCCGGTGTTTTTCCGGATAAATGGAAAATTTCTTATATTAAACCGATTCCTAAAGGGGGAGATATTACTTTAGTCACTAATTATCGCCCAATTTCTATAATTTCGATTATCCCTAAATTATTTGAAAGTATTGTACACAAAAAAATCTTTCCGTTATTTAAAAATATTATCTCTGATGTTCAACATGGCTAAATCAACCACCACGAACTTACTAGTTCTCCAAAATTACATCCTACAAGCTTTCAGAACTGGACTCCAAGTTGACGTTATTTATACTGATTTCTCCAAGGCGTTTGATAAAGTAGATCATTGTGCTCTTAGCTCTAAATTATTTAATCTAGGTATACGTAATCTTTTTCACTCGTGGTTAGTTTCATTCATAACTGGAAGGCAGCAATATGTAAAATGCATGAGTTTTAATTCTTCATTATTTAAAATTAACACTGGTGTTCCTCAGGGATCACATTTAGCTCCACTTCTATTTAATTTATTTATCAATGACATCGAATTTTTAAACTCTAATAAGTTACTATATGCAGATGATATGAAAATTTACCGTATAATTACATCACCAGCTGATAATTTGCTGCTCCAGGATGACTTAACTCGTCTTAGCACCTGGTGCACTCAAAATAATTTATCCTTAAACATAAACAAATGTAAGATCATAACCTTCTCTAAAAACCGTACACCTACTCTATATAATTACTACATAAACAACATTAAATTAGATCGAGTCTATCTATACAAAGACCTGGGAATTTATTTTGACCCATCTCTTTCATTTAATGATCACTATATGTATATCCAAAATAAAGCCTCTTCGATGTTAGGTTTCATAAACCGCAGCTGTAAAGACTTCGTCAATCCTTTAGCGTTAAAATCACTCTACTGTTCCTTCGTCAGATCATTACTCGATTATGGATCTATAGTATGGTCCCCACAATCAATCGGTGCTACAAAAAGCATTGAATCAATTCAAAACCGTTTTCTACGTATCATTCAATTCAGATGTTGTATCGAACGTGCACCTCACTCATCATATCAACCATTATTGTCGTATTTAAAGCTAGAAACCCTTGTCAACAGAAGGAAAAGACTTGATCTATGTTTTATTTTTAAATTAAAGAATGGGTATATTAACTGTCCTGAACTACTTTCTTTATTGAATTTTAATATTCCAAATCGTAGAACTAGACAATTAAATACTTTTTATGTACAACTCCAGCGTTCAAACTATGGTCAAAATGCTCCTATGAATAGATCTATGCAACTTGTTAATTATTTAAATGTTGATCTATTTTCCTGCGTTTCCTTAAATGATTTTAATTTTTACATAAATAATGTTTTAACTGTATAAATGTTATAATCTATGTCAATATCTCATTAAGTCGATTTCCAATGTTAAACAACTTTACTCTGTATTCTTAACCATTTTTGTTTTCAGTGAATTATTTTCAACCATAAGTGTCTCATCACATACATTACTTAAACCTGTCTATTTACCAAATGCACACTATCTGTATAGCTGTCATATTATAATATTTAAGATTAGTGTTCATGTGATAACAAATATTATTATTATTATTAGTGTTCATGTGATAACAAATATTATTATTATTATTATTATTATTATTAGTGTTCATGTGATAACAAATATTATTATTATTATTATTATTATTATTATTATTATAATTCCATATTTTATAATAATAGACGTATGTCTATAATAAATGTAACTGGGTTCGCCCGTTTAAATTATACAAATAAATAAATGAATAAATATTCACAAAAAAGAAAAAATAGGGATGAATAATAAATTAAACTATCTTAATGGCATCAATTACACACTTTTCGACATCATTGATAAAGAAAATACAACAGTTAATTCACTTAATGAGATTAACACACAACTATATAACAATGAAACCAGTTTTAACATACTATTTACTAATATTAGAAGTATTACTAATTACATATCTGAACTAGATTGTCTAAATGCAGCAATTAAGAATAAAAGCCATATCATAATTACAGTGGAATCATGGTTAGGAAATAATATCGATCAAAAATATATCTCGTTACATAATTATCAATCTTCAATTACTAAACATCATATACGCAAATCAGACGGCATAGTTATATTTATTCAAAATGACATAAATTACACCACGACGGAATTTATAATACAAGATACTGATACCGGTGGCTAGTAAATATGTTCGGTGGTTGGTATTGGTTACGGGTATCAACCAATATGTTCCAGCGCAATAACAAAAAAGTGTTCCTAAATTATTATCAATCCACTGAACAATCCGCTAGATTCGTTGATGATTTTCTTCAGTAGTCTCTTCAATCTCAGGAACGTTGTATTCAATGCACATATTGTGTAATACAACACATGCATTTATAATTTGAGATACTTTTTCGGGTTTATAATGTAATTGGATGTCTTTGAGAAGACACCTAAAATTATGTTTAATTGAGAACGAAGGAATAAATGAATAAAACCTTAACGTTGTAACGTTCGAAATTATACATCAATACAGTGCTGGCCAAGTTATAATGTTCCCTCCTCTAGATCAGTGTCATGACGATAACACCGCCGCACTACATCGGTAACCTCCCTCCGCCGCATCGCCGATGAACAATACCCGACGCGAGAGCAAAGGTTGCATAAGAAACCTCGCAATTAAAAGTAGTGAATATTGGCCAATGTTTTTTTTTTCTCGTCATTTTTTCGTGTCACCGTTCCCAACACGCACACACGCGGAATCAGCTCCGCGTGATTTTTTTTTGTCCATATTATTGAGCACCAACAATATGGAGTAAACTACCGCAGATCATTTCCGGTGCGCCCGTGGCGGGTATAGCCAAGATGGGCCGGAGTACGTGAGTACAAAAATTAAAAATATAAAAAACAAAAAGATATTATCACACCTTGGCCGGTATTCACTATTTTCATTGCATGTAAAATATTTAAATGTCAGACTATATTCTATTATCTTATTCTTTATCACTATCATTGTAATATATATATATATGTGTGGTAGCCCGAGGCGTACCGCAGCCGTAGGATACGGTATATAAGTAAAAAAAAAAAAAAAAAATAAATAAAAATAAAAATATAGAAATAAGTAATTGATAATAGTCAATTACTTATACTTATGCCGTGGTCGGACGCCCGTGGTATGGCCGATACACTTTATTATTTTTATTATTTTGCATGATGTGTCAAGTCATATTCGATGACATTACTTATATTATTTTACTACATTTTATTACTTAACTTTATTTTTTTTTGAACAAAGTTTTTATGCCGCAAGGCTTTTCTTTGTTTATAACTTCGCATTATCATTTGATTCTCAAAAATATACATAACGATTAAAATAAAGCAGAATTGTGTTATATATATATTACTTTATTATAAAAGAAAAATCCAGAGTACCCTGACTTCGGTCTCGGGCTCTGGTTGGCGACCCTATCTATACAACTGGTTGTCACATAACACCACATAGAACTGATCATTCAAATCTATAAATATGTGAGGTGTTATAGATGGCGACCCTGCCAGGATCCGTAGCGTTACCGTTACATGCGTTATGAATACCTATTATTATTATATATTGCATACATGTACGGAAATGTGGCAAATGTGGTAGACAGCGGCACAATGCATTATATTGTCATAGATCAGCTATTCCGTATACTTATAATATTATATACCAGCATGACAGTGATATTTTGCCTGTCTGACCGTAGTGAAAATATCGGCCAAGAATAAGGTGTAGATAATATATATATTGTAGGGAAAACTCCCAAAGAACCGGTACTGTCTGCGTGTATTTTCAGAAATTCTACGGTGACACGAAAAATGTCTATGTTGAACCTTGGTCGTCGTCATTTGCTGTTCGTCGGTGGTGCGGTGAAGGGAGGTGCCGAGTAGCTGTGCCGCGGAGCCGATTGTCATCGTCGTCGTACCGTCTGCCGTTGGGTCAAAGTGCGTCGCCGTCGTCCGTCGTCGCTGCAGGTGTTATCGTCCCACTGACCAGAGTTCCCCGGCGAATAGTACATAGGTTAATTTTAAGCACTGTATAGTATGTAAGCGTCGGTGTGTGTGCCTGTAAATTAATATATCTAATGCTCTTTATCAGGTACGTGTTTGGTGACCTACATTAAGTTTATTTTCTACCACCGATTCGACAAATCAATATTGTAATCTTTTACGTCAACACCTCGGTGCAGTGTTGCCAACTCAAATTTTTAGTTCCAGTTAACTTAAGATCAAAATTCCGCTAAAATTTCTCTAAAAATTGTTTTTCAAAATTCAGCTGAAAAATAACATAAATCCGCTAGAATAATGTAAATAGTTCTCATGATAAACACATGCATTACTTTTAAAACCCTCGTAATATATGCGCATTTGTTATTTTTTTTTAATGTAGATAATATCATATGTTGTGATTTAGTAATCTATAGCTAATATTGTCAGTATAAAATATTAAAATGTTGAATTGCCTACAGAAATAATTTGCTTTCATAATCTTTATTAATATCATTAAATTATGAACAATAGTATGGTTTTTAGTGGGTAATTATAATATTAGTTAATAAAACATACCATATAAAGAAAAACATATTAAAATGTATAAAATAAAACAAAACTTTCAGACTTCAATTGAACATAACTTTGGTTAATAACAATCTTAATTCTTAAAATAATAATACAAATTATGTATTAAAATATAAACAAATATAAAATACAATACAATTTTTGTAAGGAACAAATTAAGTTAATACTTTATAGTTTATAGAGTTAAAAACAGTTAATAGTGATAAATTTTTTTATCAAGTAATAATAAAGAAAAACATAATATTAAAATGTATAAAATAAAACAAAACTTTCAGACTTCAATTGAACATAACAATTATATATATTATATTATATTTCAAGAAGATCGTCTGGATCAGATTCTAAGTTTTCTATATTATATTCATGTGAGCTACACACTGGACTTAGTGGACTTGTATGAGTTGTATGTGCACGATAAGCAGCTAGTGTACCTAAAATTAAAATTATGATTAATACATTTTTATATTAAATTTCAAAATAAATTATGTCACCTATTTCTCCAATAACGTCAGTTGGAAGTTCATAGTCATGACAACATTTATTCATTCTTCTGAGTCCACTACGAATGGTTAAAATACTATTTGTCATATCATTAGATAAACGATTTCTATGCGAGTTTTTGACAATATTCATTTGGCTAAAAGCTCTTTCCACCTCTCCGTTTGACCAAGGTAACACAAGTAAACATTTAGCAAGTTCCACCAATTCTTTAAATGGATTTTCACCACTTGCATCTCTGTACTCAGCAATCTCTGACCAAAGTTCAGCAGTACTTTTTGTGTTGATCCATTGAATTAAATGTAGTTTTCTCCATTGAAATTCTATGTTATCAACATTTTTAAATTTCATAAGCTTAACTAAATTAGTTATCGAATCTTTCAAGGGATTTAAACAGTTTTTTGGACTAAACAATGAAACTTTCCTCAAAATTTCAATATTATTTGGTAACCGATTTTTAAGTTGATTGATAAGAGTAACTATAAATTTTACACAGACATTTCTTAAAATTTTTTCATTTGATTCACTTATTAATTTGTTTGTACTGAGATATTTCATTTTCTCCTCGAATGCATTTCCTAAATATGGTTTTGGATGAAGATAATCTGAGATATTAGTGTTTACGTCCAATAAATTAGCTTTGCATGCAGGTGTTGTAATAAGTCTGCCAAGAGTTTCAATTAATAAAATCAAGCTATCTAGAAGTTTCGCTGGATCGGCATTATTAGATTGAAATATTTTGTTTACATACTGTGCCTCACTTAAAATTGGCTTCAGAAACATTAGATATGCTTCATTATTCACATCAGAATACATTTCACTCAGCATTTTTGCTTTGTAGCATTTCTCATGGGAAGCAGCAATTTTGAAATGTTGTTTGAGTTCCAACCACTGATCTAAAATCCGCGTTACAGCACCTTCAATTGACAACCATCTAGTTTGTGCCACACATATAATTTTTAATGGGTCTATTCCATTATTAATAGCATTATACAATTGTTTGTAACTTAATTGCCTATTAGTTGATTTAGAAAACCAGTTGTATGTCTCCGACAAAAGGAACTCTAAATGAGTCGGTAAAACATTAGCAGCTGCAGCAGACACTGACAATTGCACTGAGTGACAAACGCAACGAATCAAAATCAAATGATCAACTTCTTTTAACAGCATAGAAAAAAACACCATTTTCTCTACCAACCATTACATTAGCGTTGTCTGTGCCAATACCTCTTAAATTTTGTAGGTCCAGGTTATAATAACTAAGAACCGATTTCATTCCATTTAAAACGCTCACAGCAGTTCCTGCATCTATAGTTTCTAATTTTAAATATGTTGAAACCGTGCGATTTTGACTTGCTGAATAATACACTATGCACACCCCAAGTTGTTTAGTGACAGATATATCAGTTGATTCATCTAATATAAACTGTACGGACTATCGCCTATATCTTGACGAAGCATTTGTTTAAAATGGCAGAATAAAATATTTTTAATTATTCCACTACATTTTGTGCGGTGTAGCTTAACACTAACTACTTCACTTTGATCCGAAAAGCACTTTTTATTCAAATCTGTTAAATGATCTATATTATGTATAGCACAATGACAAGTTACAAATAATGTCATAGAAGCTTCAATAACAGATGTTTTCAAGCTAGGTGGATTGACTGGTTTAAAGGGAAGTTTAAGTTGTCTGGCATTAGAAAATGGTTAGGAAGATGTAAAATGTTTCTTGCTTATTGAATGAGCATTAAGATCACTATACCTCGCATTTAATGTGCATTTGCAATACTTACATCTAGCTGATGTAGGATCTGTAGGTATATCTTCAATCCAATCTTTTAATCCCGAATCGCTGAACCATTCTTTTCTAAATTTTTGAGTGTATTGAACCTTTGATTTTTTCCCCATTTTATTGATCTCAAGTAACAAACATAAACTAATTACAGTATACACTATAATAAACTACACAGTTAACACTAGACAGTAGACGTACTAGTCTAATAATCTTATTAATTTATGATATATATTATATATAAATATATAATATAAAAATAAAAAATATTCTATCAATAATCAATATATCATTTATATATTATATCATGGTGTGTGCCGTGCGGTAGCCACTAGTCTAGTCTGACCACCAATATTTAGTTCATATCAGTATATCACGGACTAAGATAGGTATATCTTAAATCGTGGTCGTGGTGGTAGTAATATTCTATTATCTAGCCACTGATTTTGGTAGATAACACACATAATTCTATAGTAGTTCGTAGGAATTGATGGACTCACAACCATTTCTTAACTAATTTATTTAATTTAGTTAATTTGATTAAGATACTTATTAAAAAAAATCAGCTGAAATTTCGCTGAATAATATCTTAATATCACTGAAAATTCCACTAGCCACTAACTTGTATTTTTCTCCACTAAATAGGATACTAAATACTCCAGATTTGGTGGAATTTCCGCTAAGTTGGCAACACTGCCTCGGTGCGATCATTCCGGCCCAGCCGTGTGACCGTTCCCTTTGTGTAGTCAATAGACCTAACAATCTATAGATTTGTGGATACGTGTTTTTTTGATTGTTTTCTTCTCTGGTTTTGTCCGTGCTCACCATTAGGATATCTGTATCACAAATCTATATATATATATTATTATTAATTTTTGTTTTTTTCTGTCGAATTCGTTGGTAGAATAAAGTTATTTAGCCAGTTAGACCCGCGCACACATTGACGTATAGTTCGTAAGTTGGATATATATATATTGTAAACCATGGATACGTATAGTCGCGCATCGACTATATATTAGGTTTTCGCACGCCTGTGCTACCGTTACATCCGTTTCGTACACGTAGAGTAGGTATCCTCGTTGCTACGAGTGTTGTGCCCAGTTTCTGGGAGAGTATTGTTATTATTATTGTTGGTTAATGGTCTAACGAAATATTATTATCCTCGTTGCTACGAGCGTTGTTTCGTTATTCTCTTTCTTTTCTAATTTTATTTCATTATAATTCCGTAAACGATTATGCATGTAATTAGTGCATGTTTGTTGCATGTACCCATCTTTTTGATGCCCGATTTATTGAAATGATTTTCCGTAATTTAGTATTTTTTTTTCTTCGCTTAATGAATACCGTGCCATTTTGTTTTAATTATCTGACATTTATATATAATATAAATATACATTTATATTTATAGTCTGTATGTATTTATGACTCCGACTGCAAAATCTTTGGTGACACCCGCCCGTCAGTACCGGAAATGAACACATTTCTATTGTCTTATTTATCTCTAAACCTTTGATATCTGAATAAGATTTTATTTAATTTTACTCCCACGTTCTTTCAACTATTTGTTCTTGTATCTTGACCATTATATGGATAGTGCCGGGAAACGTGAAACTCGTCCACCCGATCGACTGCTCGACGCTCTATTGAACTCTAACAAGATCAAAACAGTTCCCGTAACCATGACCACTACGGTCACTACTTCGAACCCACCTACGATAACCACGACAGCTCCGTCAATGCCTGGTAACCCTTCAGCCAATCATCAACCCAAAACCACATCCTTAGAAAAACCTGGATCGGATCCGGGTGTTCAGGCGATGCTCAGGCAGGTGATGACCGACCTTGCCAAAAACCATGCCCAGACTACAGCAAAAGTTGAGAAACTACATCTAGGAACCGAAGAAAAATTTACTCAGTGTCTTAATCAATACCACCTAACAGATACTCGACTGGCAAAATTAGAAGACGACAACGTAGAACTCACAGCTCAAGGTCTCCAACAAGCCACTACCAACAGTAATGTGTCCGGTCGACTTACAACACTCGAAGACGATATTGTACACATGAGAAATGACGTATCCCGGCTAGTTGATCAATATCGAGTATCTAACAATCCGGATTTATCACATATTTTGAAACCGACACCTCTGTCATCCACCTCAGCTGAAAATTGTTCAGCCAATTATAACACATCATCGATACCTCCGGCGTTTCCATCGGTAAACCAACCAGCTGGTAATTTGACGATGTTTGATTCAGCGCGATCATCTTTTCTTGGGCCTCAAGAACGTTTTCAAGATGCCGTGGCTGAATTTTCCGGACAAATTGAAGTTCTTCATCCAGAAAAGTTTATCGCCCAAGTTGACGCCTATTTCGAAAGTGTATTCGTATCACCTGCTCAGCAACTCATATCTGCTCAACGTCGCTTAGTCGGAGATGCGCAAGTCTGGTATGAATCACTGATCCCATCGCCCGAACGTATGCTGAATTCCGTCTATCTTTCCGCCAACATTTTTGGTCTTCAGCCACCCAACGTAAGGCCCGAAATGAAGTCTTCCGCCCCTATCAGTATACCCGATACGATGGTTTAGCCACCCATGCTATGAAATGGATTGCTGGGGCAAAGTATCTATCTCCGCCTATTGAACAAGCTGACCTTGTGTCTACCATCATCCAACATTACCCCACGCCACTAGGAATGGCTATCCGTGGTCGAGGCCCTCGTGATACAAACGAGTTGCTATCGGTGTTAAAAGAATTTGAGGAGTCTGCCTCATTTTGTGAACGACGTCGTGAGGAAAACAATACCCGACCACCCTTTCAACACCAGGCCGACGTAAATCAACAGCCCCGGAACAATTTCCGACGAGACAATAATAACAGGTATCAACCTCGTGCACCGGTTCAGGAAAGTGCCGTACCTCGACCAGTGACCCAGATTAATGTCTCGGGAAACGCTGACGAGGCTCGTGCGTAAGTACGTCACGTCACGAAGCCTCCATATCCAATACTATGCGTACCACTCCAACCCCTGTTGTCGTGGATAGTGATCGGCCAAACGGAAAACGACCTGGACTACCGATCACCATTTTCAATAAACAGTTTAACGCTTTGCTTGACTCAGGTACCGCCATCTCCGCCATTTCTGAAGAAATATTTGCGAACATCAAACGAAGCATTCCGGAAGGAGAATGTTTATCGACTTTACCAGTCACCGGAGTGACAATATCGACTGCTGTTCGAGGTCGTAGTCGAAAAGTTACAACACAGGTCCTCATACCATTTTCCGTTTCCGGGCATATCACTGATTGCATCTGCCTTGCTGTTCCTCACCTTGCAACCTCGATCATACTAGGAGATGACTGGTTAACCCAGAATCAAGTCTGTCTCGATTACTCCACACGGTTGTCATCTTTCCCAAGATGGGGTCTTGATGTACCATTTTCGGCTACTCAAGAAGAATTAGTGAATCCGATAAATGCGTTCTTCACTATGTCGATATCCCCAGAAGACTGTGTTCGAACAGTCTCCGAACATTGTATATCTAGTATTGAAATGATATATCAACAACTTCACTCACCGAACAGTCACAATGTCGTAGCTAGTCTACAGATTATACCCAATGATGATCTAGAACCATTCGGCAACATAACGGACCATCTCTCATCCGTTATAGCCCCCTCTCCAGAACAATTTGAGAAAATGTTGGACCTTTTTCATGAGTATCATCAAATTTTTCGGACACGACCCGGTTTGAATTCATTATACACCTGTCGTTTCAACACCACAGAAGATGTACCATTCAAAATACGTCCCTATCCAGTGCCTTTCGCTCGTCGTCCAGCCGTTCAAAAAGAACTAGCCCATATGTTGAACTGGGGGGGGGGGTGATTGAGAGGTGCTCATCACCCTACAGTAATCCAATTGTATGTGTTGGTAAAGCAGATGGCACAGTCCGGCTCTGTCTCGATGCTCGGAGAGTGAACAAGATTATCTTACCGATGCGTGATTCATCGCCCCCACTCGATGAGGTACTTGCTCGCTTTGGTGGAAAAGCGATGTTTTCCAGTCTCGATTTCACATCTGGGTATTGGCAGGTTTCGTTACATCGCGATGTTAGGAAGTACACTGCTTTTGTGTATGATGGTCGAACGTACCAGTTCTGTGTAGTACCATTTGGACTCAATATCTCGAATACCGCGTTCCAGCAGGCTTTGGAATCGGTGCTCTCCAATCAAACAGAAGTTGACGTAGATGAAGCGCTCGATGACCTTCACATATACGTCGATGATGTGCTCGTGTCTTCGACGTCATTTAATGACCACCTATGTCGCCTTCGACTTTTATTCAAAAAGATTGCTGTCTCTGGAATGACTTTAAAATTCAGCAAATGTAAATTTTTCCGGGACAAAACCAAGTTCTTGGGCCACATCATCACACCTTCAGGAATGTCCATGGACCCTTCCAAACTCCAAGCTGTTCACGATTTTCCAGTGCCACGCAACAAAAAGGACCTTCAGTCGTTCATAGGGTTCTGCAATTTTTATAGGAAATTCGCCGACCATCACGCGTCGCTTATTGGTCCACTCATTAACCTTTTGAAAAAGGGGGTTCCGTGGCAGTTCACAGAAAACGATCTATCCAATTTTAATTCTGTCAAATCAGCATTTACCGAGCGTTTCCTTGCTCACCCTGATTTCAACTCTGACTTTTATTTACAAACTGATGCAAGTAACCTCGGACTCGGAGATGAATTGTTTCAAATCAATACTTCCTCTGAGAGACAAACGATTGGGTTTGTGAGTCGAACGTTGAACTCCGCAGAAGAAAATTACACTGTAACTGAGCTAGAGCTCTTATCTATAGTTTTTGCGTGTAATAAGTTCCGGGTGTTCATTCTTGGTTACCCCATTCATGTGTTGACTGATCATCAAGCACTTACATTTTTGTTCCGGTGTAGGCTTCGAAATGCACGTCTTACTCGTTGGACGCTTGTGCTTCAAGAATTTGATCTGAGGATTCAACATATCAGCGGTCCTAGTAATATAACCGATGTTCTATCTCGCAATCCTATCGGCCGTGATGCAACCGCTGGGCAGTATCGTTCACCGTACATTTTCATAACCACTCCCAGTAAGTTGTTTTCTGAGCATCAATCCCATATTCAAGCTTTCAATCATATATTGTCCGAACAACGAAGGGACGAAAGGATCCGGAAAGTTATTGATGTTTTATCTGGAAGTTCGTGGGTGTTGACCGCAATCACAGCGCGTTACTGCATGTATAGGGACATCTTATTCTATCGCCGACACCTCTCCTCCGATAAGTGGTTAGTCTGCGTCCCACTGCATCGAGTTAATGAACTTATTACCAAGTTTCATATACACTTCGGACATGTCGGTCCGAAGAAATGCATTTCAGCAATCCGGGATGTGTGTTTCTTTCGTGGTCTGAGTGGGAACGTCCGCAGGATTGTCAAAAGTTGTGACCTCTGCCAACGTGCGAAGTTTTCGACAGTACGGACAGAGGGCGAAATGCAAAATGTGTTAGCCACCGCACCTCTTCAACGTGTCTGTGTTGATCTCTATGGTCCCTTACCATCTGGGTGGAACCATGTAAAATATATTTTTGTCGTCCTCGATTGTTTCTCACGGTTCGTTAGATTGTTCCCAATAAAACGATCTACTGCCGTTGTCGTGACTCATCGTATGATTAACGATTATGTGGCCATCCACGGTACTCCAAAGACCGTTGTCTCCGACCAGTTTGTCAGCCGAGTATGGCAGGCTCGTCTTACAGCCATTGGCGCGTCTGTAACTACTACTAGTGTGTATCATCCCCAAAGTAACCCTTCTGAGAGGGTTATGCGAGAATTAGGTAGACTTTTTCGGACCTATTGTCACCAGAATCATACTGAATGGCCCCGTTATGTCAAATATATTGAGTGGGTTCTGAATCATACTGTGTATGAGGCGACTGGTTTTACCCCTAGTGAGATTTTTCTAAAAGAAGATCGATATAGTCCGATTTATGAAGCCGTAGAGTGCCCCCCAAAACCCGCTGATGACTATACAGTCAAGTTAACCATGGCCGCCGAGGTTCAACGAACCAAAGCTGAAGAACGCCGCATTCGCCATGATCGTCAGGGGAAACCAACAAAATTTTCTATAGGAGATGAAGTCCTAGTTCGTACCCATAACTCCTCCTCAGCTGTTGACCGACAGATTAAAAAATTTTTCATGTTGTATGAAGGTCCATACAATATTATCGAAGTAAAAAACCATAACGCGTATGTGTTAAACGACCCTGTAACGAATCAGGTACGAGGAACATTTAACGTGATCTTCCTCCGAAAGTATGTCCGTCTGAAAACCACAATAGCACAATAATGTTGGTATGAGGGATGAGGTCCACCATACCAATGTACCTCTGCGAAGCCCGGAAAACGACCCCTATACCATGTTAATGTTAATTATTTACAATTTCTCCCTTTTCGTGTGCAGAAGCGTCCCTCGGCAAGCCCGGTACACTTCTACAGGGGGGTTTCTGTAACGTTCGAAATTATACATCAATACAGTGCTGGCCAAGTTATAATGTTCCCTCCTCTAGATCAGTGTCATGACGATAACACCGCCGCACTACATCGGTAACCTCCCTCCGCCGCATCGCCGATGAACAATACCCGACGCGAGAGCAAAGGTTGCATAAGAAACCTCGCAATTAAAAGTAGTGAATATTGGCCAATGTTTTTTTTTTCTCGTCATTTTTTCGTGTCACCGTTCCCAACACGCACACACGCGGAATCAGCTCCGCGTGATTTTTTTTTGTCCATATTATTGAGCACCAACAATATGGAGTAAACTACCGCAGATCATTTCCGGTGCGCCCGTGGCGGGTATAGCCAAGATGGGCCGGAGTACGTGAGTACAAAAATTAAAAATATAAAAAACAAAAAGATATTATCACACCTTGGCCGGTATTCACTATTTTCATTGCATGTAAAATATTTAAATGTCAGACTATATTCTATTATCTTATTCTTTATCACTATCATTGTAATATATATATATATGTGTGGTAGCCCGAGGCGTACCGCAGCCGTAGGATACGGTATATAAGTAAAAAAAAAAAAAAAATAAAAATATAGAAATAAGTAATTGATAATAGTCAATTACTTATACTTATGCCGTGGTCGGACGCCCGTGGTATGGCCGATACACTTTATTATTTTTATTATTTTGCATGATGTGTCAAGTCATATTCGATGACATTACTTATATTATTTTACTACATTTTATTACTTAACTTTATTTTTTTTGAACAAAGTTTTTATGCCGCAAGGCTTTTCTTTGTTTATAACTTCGCATTATCATTTGATTCTCAAAAATATACATAACGATTATAATAAAGCAGAATTGTGTTATATATATATTACTTTATTATAAAAGAAAAATCCAGAGTACCCTGACTTCGGTCTCGGGCTCTGGTTGGCGACCCTATCTATACAACTGGTTGTCACATAACACCACATAGAACTGATCATTCAAATCTATAAATATGTGAGGTGTTATAACGTATAAATAAATATTCAATAGTATAAATAAGTAGGTACCTAAAACGCATTTTGAGCACACCATTACATCGTTCGATAACACTTCTTGTGGACATTTGTTTTTTGTTGTAAAGCTCTTCAGCTGCTGTGGTGGGGTGTGCTATAGGTGTGAGTAAACAATGCCGTAAAGGATAACCTGAATCTCCTACAAAGATTTTTGTACCAAAATTATAATTTAAAATTTATGAATAAAAATAAAAATTTATTTATCTATTAAAAATATACATTAATATTTACCTAATAAAAAGAAGCCGTTAAAATTTCTGGAATGCAATTCCTGAAGGATATTTGATACTTGACTATTATTCCAGATGTGTGTGTCATGTGTACTACCCGGAAATAATGCGTTAACATTAAACATTTATAGATTTGAGTCACATATCTAAATTTAAAATATGTAATCGTATGTATTAAGTTAAATAAGAAAACATAATATAAGATGTTATTCATTCTTACTAGCTGAACGTTAATCGAATGATAATTAGTGATGATCAAAACAAGACCAAGACCAAGACTTTCAAAATCTTGGTCTTGGTCTTGGTCTTGGTCTTGCAGACTCAGTCTTGGTCTTGGTCTTGCGCAAGACTCTTACTATTTTCACAAAATATATAAAAAAAAACTAAATACCTGTTATAGCTGTGTGTAGGTTTTTTGCTATGATCACTAAGATGAAACTTAGTCCAATATATTACATAGTATATTCATAAATCAAACATTAACATAAAACAAGTCAAACAATTTAATTTTTATTATATGTACTCGTTTAAAACTTTGCATTTTAAATTATGCTTATATTATTTTACTTGTATGAATCAATTTACCAGCATAATTAACTTTCTAAGTTCCTATTGCATTTATAATAAATATCAATAGGTTATTACTAATTGCTAATTACTAGTTATTAACCAATATAATGTTTATAAAAATTAAATTGTTGTTTTTTTAATGTTCACTTTAACTAAAAATAATATTTAAAAAACTTGTATGGTTTGTTCCAAATATTAAATTGCTTAATAATTATATTAATTGTCATAATGATAATATTTATTATTTATAATTAAACTTTAATTCTTCTTTTATTCAGTAGTACTAGATGTTTAAGTTCCTTTTAATATAATATATTGGCAATAAACCATTTCTGTAAATCTTATTAGGTACCTACATTTTATTTTTAGAAAAAGTTTTTAATTATCTTAATGTCAACTAAGTTAAGTAGTAACATTGTATTTAAGATAACTGTAAAGCATAGGCGGAGCCACAGGGCGTGCAGGGTATGCAGCTGCACGCCCTGATCGCCCCGAAAATCCGCTATAATTTAAAGGTTACATAATACATTTTAAATATTGGATTAACAATATGATTTCCACAGAACTACTGAAAAATAGATTTTTATAAATAATTAACTGCTGTGTTGTCATACTGGCAACACTGCGCTACCGATTTGCGATATAGGTAGGTACTTATTTATGATTATGATATCAAGTAATGATTAACACTTAACGGTTGTGTAAACATAATAAAATTTGATTTGTATCTTTGTGTTCTTACTTAGAATTTAGATCATATTCTTTACCTATACGTCTTGTACTCTTGTGTCTTGTGATTTTTATATGATCTAAATTCGAAGGTTGTGTTGATCACTTAATTACTCACTATTCAGTACCCTGTCATCGTATACTCGTATGGATGCCCGTAATTGTCTTATTCATATAGTGAACACTGAACGGTAAAGTCAAACATGTCTGAGTCTGAAGAGTCTACAGAGCGTAAAGGTGGCGCAGAAAAAATCAGAGATAAAAAAAAAAGAATTCTTGAAAATGATGCAAAAATGTCTGGTGACATTCGGAATATGTTCTTCAAATCCAAGATATTAATATTATATACTACCTACTAATATTACCATTAGAGATTTTTATTCATTTTTCAGAATATTTCTACACTATTAATTTTGTTATGATAATTTATTGTCTTCTTCTTCTTCTTTAGGCATTTTAAAGACCATTAAGGTCTATTGCCGCAGCAACAACATCCCTCCACTTCTCCCTGTCCCTTGACACTTCTTCTCCATTCTCTATCCCTAATATTCTGAGGTCTTCCTTAATTCTATCTGCCCACCGTTGTCTGGGTCGTCCTCTGGGCCGTTTCGTGCTCGGTCTCCATCTCGTTATGTTCCCCAGTATTCCTTCCGATCTCCAAACATGACCTGCCCATCTTAATCTATAACTCTTCATAATTCCTATAATATTGGCTTCTCCAAATAAACTTCTTAACTCTTAATTTGTCCTGACTTCAAACTCACCTACATTATTCTTTTTTGGTCCATAAATTTGTCGGAGTATTTTCCTTTCAAAAACACCCAATTTGTTTTCATCCGTTTTGGTGGTTGCCCATGTCTCGCATGCGTATAGTACTATGGGTCTAATTAAAACTTTGTACAATATTATCTTTGATCTTCTTGAGAGTAATTTTGATTTGAAAAGTGTTGATAGTCCAAAGTAGCATCTGTTTGCTGCTATCAACCTCTCTTTTATTTCTTCTTGACTATTCGCGTTTTCATTCACCCACGCTACAAGGTATTTGAAGTGTTCTACTCTTTCAAATGAATAACCTTCTATTTCTAAATTCCTTGCCGTGTGATGTTTCCTGGACAATATTAGATATTTTGTTTTCTCTTCGTTTACGCTAAGACCGATTTCTGCCCCTATCCTTATTAGTTCTTTTGCGGATTGTTTTAGACTTTCCTCATTTTCTGTAGTTAACACTAGATCATCAGCATAGGCTACAATTGCAAGCTGTTGGTTATCACTGATTTTTATTCCTTTCGCCTTGCTAAGGACTTGTCTCACCACTGACTCTAAGGCAATGTTAAACAAAGCCGGTGACAAAGCGTCTCCTTGTCTGAGACCTGTCGACACTAGGAATTCATTTGAGTAGTCTCCTCCAAAATTCACCTTGCATTTAGAGCCTTGTACGCACGTTTTGACCATTCTTATAAGCTTTTCTGGTATTCCTATCGGGGCCATTACATTCCACAATTTATTTCTATCTATTGAGTCGTATGCTGCTTTAAAATCCACAAATAGCATATGTACGTCTTTATTGAATTCATGGCTTTTTTCTGCAACTTGTTTTATTATATGAATCTGATCTATAGTCGATTTACCTACCATGAATCCTGCCTGGTATTCTCCAATAACTTCTTTAATAAATGGTTTCAATCTGTTTAATAGGAGGTTAGATAATACTTTGTACGAAGTGTTTAACAGAGAAATTCCTCTATAGTTCTTCGGATCCATTTTATCTCCCTTTTTATGTACCGGGCATAGGACAGATATTTTCCATGATTCTGGAATCTCCTCCTGTTCCCATATATCAGTAATTAGGTTGTGAAGTTGTTGAGTCAGCTTCTTTCCTCCTTTTTTTAGGCATTCAGGGACTACTTCATCAATTCCAGGGGCCTTTCCATTTTTCAGCATTTCTAATCCCATTTCTATTTCTTGTATCGTTGGTTTGTCCAACAGTTCTTCCGCCGTTACATTAACTTCTATTGTGGTCCTATTTTCTTGTTGATTCAACATCTCTTCAAACATCTTTTTAAATTCATTTGCTATTTTACCTTTATCAGTTATAATGGTTCCATCATCTTTTCTTAACATCAATGTTTTTGACCTATAACCTGTTTTTACGTTCTTTATTTTTTCAAAGAAAGCTTTTATATTATTTTTGACGTTGTTATTTTCTATTTCTGTAACTCTTTGTTTTTCCCATAGTCTCTTG